CATAAACAGCAATCGCTAAAGGGCAATAAACAGGAACAGGTCTGTCGCAACAGCGTTAGCTCACATGCACATAGCGGGATGTGTAGTTGGGCCCCGGAGGCATCTCCTCATCATTGACCCCACCTCTGCACTTGCTTATACCTGGTGCTCCCAGAGACGTGGGCCGCGTTGGAAAGGATCAGATGGCGTCACTCTCTCGAAGTGAACATTCTTAGCAGTGCAACTGGATTAAAGCAGAGGAATAAAATTATTGACCAATGAGCAACCGAACACCGTCCTATTAATTGCCTTCCCATGCAGTCTGTTGCAGCTGTCCATGTAACTTATTCTAAGCAAGTGTGTCTGGCCATGTAAACAATTTTTTGCCTTAACAATAGATCAATAGAATCGGGGAGTTTTATGCCTGTGCTCATCCTTGCCATACCAGTACAGTGTCTTGCCTCTATCACCCCCTTCCCTGCCCCCAATGCTCTACAAAACACTGAAGCACAGATCCTGTAGGGTTGTAACCTGAGGTATGTTTATTGTGAATAAGTCCCCCCCCCGCCCCAAATTTCTTCTTCTGGGGATTTTGTTCATGTCTTAGGGCCAGCAGTGAAATGGCACTGGGGAGATTCAGAGAGGAAAATTAATGTTTATCACTTCATTTCCTTTCTGGTCGGCTCCCGGCAGGTTCACAACGTGCAATAACCGCGCTTCAATGTGACTGAAGGGCGGGAAGCGTGCCGCCCAGCAGAAGAGGATGCAGGCCACATTCCAGCTTCTCTGGCTCTGTAAATGGAGTGGGGTTCATGTGCTGGGCTAGCAATGAGGACAACAGGCCTGCCTTCATACAGCCAGCCTGCCAGTGGGCCAGCCTGCCAGCCAAGAGAGGCCTTCCATTCACCCTTTAATGAATCCCTGTAAATGGAGTGTGGTTCTTGCTGGGCTAGCAGTGAGGACAATGGGCCTGCCTTCACACAGCCAGCCTGCCAGCAAGCCAGCCAAGAGAAGCCTTCCATTCACCCTCTAATGAATCCCTGTAAATGGAGTGGGGTTCGTGCTGGGGTAGCAGTTGGGACAACAGGCCTGCCTTCACACAGCCAGCCTGCCAGCCAAGAGAGGCCTTTCATTCACCCTCTAATGAATCCCTGTAAATGGAGTGGGGTTCGTGCTGGGGTAGCAGTTGGGACAACAGGCCTGCCTTCACACAGCCAGCCTGCCAGCCAAGAGGCCTTCCATTCGCCCTCTAATGAATCTCTCTGTCCCTCAGCCCCCCCCAGCCATCTCAGCCTGCTGTCCAACACACCCCCACACACACACCGTCTGTGCACCCTCTGTTACCTGACACCCCCCGTTTGTTCCGTCGTGTGTCCTTCACATTTAGCTGAGGTTTCACTATCCACAACCTGTCTCCCAGACCATGGAAGCCATGCCCAGTCCTCAGAAATACAGGCAGGAGGGAGTCAGCTGACAAACAGCCAAGCAGACAGCCCCAGACACCTGACCTCTCTCCCAGCTGTAGGGCCCCTCCCAGGATGCCGACACCCATATTGTTTCCCCTCCTGCCGATGCCAAAATGGCTCCCTCTCGTCTATGTTCCTCCCCGTGGTTTTCATTAAATCCGTGTCTGTGACTGTCCCAAAATACATCTCCTTTCCTTCCTCCCATCACCAATGCACATGGTTTTGTCAACTGTCCCGCACAGAAAAAGTTCTACAACCACAGAGAACAGACACGCCCTGCCACAGTGCATAAAAATTTTACATTCAACTCGGCTTTGGTAGTAATTTTTCATACTGTCATATAGGGCTGCACAATATCACATTGGTTACTTGGTGCATGCCAATAATCACCAGGGCTTTAGATGACGAGGGTGAATGTGTCTGGACGCCGGCTTTTCAGTACTATACAGACGTTTACTTACAGCCACAATTTGGTAAGCAGATTAGTAGTATGCCTAAATTTTAATGAGAGGCGTATTGTGACGCCCAAAAAGTTAGCCATCATGCAGCCCTGCTGTCATATTATCCAGTCCTAATACCGCGGTATACTACTTCGACAGTATATTCAAAAGCAATGCTATTCCAGTAGAATTTGAAATCACACCTGGGAAGGGATTCAAAATAGCATGGCACGCCCAAGACACCACACTACTCTGTACTGCATGAATACATCTCTATCCTCCATTTGGCTGTACTACCTAGCAGACAGATACGCATAGTAACCTGCAATAATGGAAATGTTGGTCTAGCTAGAACAGAGCAGAAAGTGTAATGGAACTTTTGGGTCAAAGTATCTGTTAAGCAAATCCATAAACATCTTGGATAATCATCATTCTGGCGTCGCATTGCGTATGAATCTTTATCTGTGAGAAACCGACGCTTTGTGCACTGTCCTTCCCTGAAGTGACCGACAGAACGCTTCAGGCACCTAGAACTGTTTACATGCCGATTAAGATAAAACTTTGTTTACGGAGGCATGCTGACAGTCTAAGGTAGGACCCTGTATCAAAAATGCTCATAAAAGTTCATGTAAGTTATTTGGTGTATAATGAATTCAAGAAGCAATGATGGCTTCCCAACATAAGGCCCTTTGCTGTGGGCCTTGAAGGAATCATGGCATCAGCTTTTCTGAAGGAACTGCTCTTCACAAGCTGCTTGGGAAAATATGGATAATTTGAAAGTATGGCTGGTGTATCAGGTGGTGGGGGGGGGGGCACTGGATTTGCTTAGATGTATCTCTGAGTGAGTGGTACAATGTTACTACTAGTAACTAGTACAGTTTACTTGATCTGCCAGTAAATCAATAGCTTTGTTGAGTACAACTATAAAAACTCTACAGACAGTATCAGTGTCACGTCTAGGCAGAAAGGGAAGCGGAGATCCAGGGATGCAGGGAATAGAAGGCTTTAATGGGGCAGAATACAGGCAAGCGACAACAGGGGGCAGCCCTCTCCTGAGAAGGGGTGCAGCCGCCTCTGAGCAGCCGTTCCCGGCTGGAGCCGCGGACTTGGGATCGAGGTCCCCAGCTGCAGACCGATGCGAAGGTGCCGAAGGGGTGCGCAGAAATCGAGGTCGTTGTTCGGGAGCTGTGTTCGTTACCAGGAGAATCCGTCCGACACGTAGGCACAGAGACGAGGAACACTGGGAACGGGGAACAGAGGATGCCGGGCTCAGCAGGACAGGTAGGTTATGGGTGGGAGCTGGTCTGGGAGAGGAAGGAGAGAAGGTCAGGATAACACAAGGAGGAGACAGGTAAGGCAGGGGTAACCGGGCAGACTGGAGACAAGAAGATTGCTTGGTACAGCGTCTTAACATCGGCTCAATACTTCGCAACCCAGTTCTGGGGCATTCAGTTTATATAGGTGGCTAATCGTGTGTGGCCGGATTGCGTCTGTCTGACCCCGCCCCTGTGGGCGTGACAATCAGTATGAAGGACTTTCAAAATACATTTAAAGGCTTGTTATACACTGCAAATTCTGCTGATTTTTTAAATGCACTTTTTATTTTCTGAATCCTTCATTAATGACAGTGATAACGTTCGGCAGTTTTACATTTGTGTCCCCAATTGTAGGATCTGTATTACAAAAATGCGTATAGATCAAAATTGGTAATAAAAATAAACCACGAGCAGAAACGGCTTGAGATGAAGACAAACAAATAAAATGGCTTGATCTTGTATGACTCAAAAATGTTCATATTAAATTAACATTGTCGATGTTTCCATGAAAATGTGCAAATACAAAATACGCATCTTTCAGTCTCTGCTCACTGACCATCACGGCGCATTGGGAGGGACACCGTTTTTTTTTAATAATAAAAAAAAAAGGCCAAAAACGTTTTTTTTTTGCATTAGGACGGTGCTTAAGACTTAAGAATCGCCATATGTTCGTTAAATCGTACAGGTACGTTAACGATGCAAAACTAACGCTACAAATTATTATCCCAGCACCTCTTCTTCCTATTAAACTGCCGTTGCGCCCAAATCTGCCACATTTCAGACTACCACCATTCCCTTCAGCGATGCCTGGAGACCTGGGGCCATATTCTATGTACAAGCATTGTATTCCTTTTTTATTTCCCCCGTATAGCTACGTTTTCATTACAACTCACCAAAACAACCAAAACGTCCGACAAACATTTGACTTTTCATAACAATTTTCGTGGATTTGTTAATAATTTAATCACAGCGTGCATGTTCGGATATGTGATCGACTTTCTACTTTCGACGTTTTCCTACCTATAGATATTCAAAGCTTTTTTTCCTGCTTTTTTGTTCGCAATTTGTGATGCCCCTACAAACGCTGTCTCCATCGCGCATAAAGCCGGATACACGGGGCTGTTAGTGTTCATATAAAACTATGATAGGGTCATGGGGAGGGATACCATGGCCAAACGAGCCTGGGTCACTTCGTATGCACACTGATAGTCCATCAGCACTAATAGCCGTGTGCAGCCACGCATAATGGGGCACAAGAGAAGCCGTCTAGAAGTTTGGATTTGGCCGGGCCCCATCTTAATGAAACGGAAGCCGCCTCCAGGCTTCAGTGCTTTGTGAAATCGGAGCTTATCTCGATATCTGTACCGTAAAACAGCTTGGCACCGGAGCTTGATCTCCTGAACCGAGTATCTAAACGCCGCAGCCCAGTCAGAAACATCCGACTCAACGGCTGCGAGGTACGAAGCGAAGGGTTACTGCGATGGGGCCCATCTTCAAATGCCTTTTCTTTACCTGCCAGAATCTGGACCCACGACTTTCCCAGCATCTGCTCGTAGAAAATTAATTGCATTCCCCAGTTCTTTGCATGGATTTTCCCCTGATGCCTTAGAAGGGGCGAAGTTTCCACGGGGCACGATACTGGTCTGGTTGGCAGTAAATTGCGGCTGAGCGATAATCTCACACCTTACGCGCCGCCTGTTATTTACGGGTGAAGCGGTTACGCGCACTATGCGCGCCTCAGTAGCCCGTTCATTAAGGGTGAGGCGGTTACGCGCACCTGCCCCGTGTGCGCGGCGCGGTGCGGCAGGGGAGGGGAGGAGGATTCTCCCTCGCTGTGAATGGTAGCTCCCGGTCTGCCTCGCCTCGCCGATCGGCTGACTCTCATTCAGACAATCCCTTCGTTTGGGTTTAATCGGGAGAGAAAGGTCACCCGGCCGCAAGACTGATAACGGCATTCCCTGCAGCTCGCCCCGTCAGAGGACACCTGATGGACGGCGCTGTCGCCTTGCTTTCGTTTGTTCAGTGTTTTAAAATTGAGTTTGCTTTATCTCAGTGTTTTTATTTATTTTTGGAAAAAACGAAAGGTGTTGTAGAGTAAACGTGATATTCACCTGTGGCGAATACGAATAATAATAGAAATAAAAAACTTGCAACCCCCGCATCGTGCTCCTAGAGAGCAAAAGTTTCCTTCGGAAGGGGATAATGCTGTAAAGGGACGCTGCTCTGAACAGGTAAGATATTTTATCACGTTTCGAAATGATGATGCGACAGCTTATTACGTAAATCATTGCAGAACACGCTGTTTTTGTGAAATCAAAACAACTAGCGAAGCTTTTGCTTGTGAAGTTATCGCCGGTCGGGCTGAAATGCTTGACAAATCGTGGTGATTATTATTGGGGTACGGATAGTACATTTATCCTAAGATACCGCCGTCGTATGGATTTCGGCAGGTGTGCAAGCAGCGTGTCCGCGTATATTTGTGGACTAGCCCCGCAGTGTCGGGGGGAGAAGCCCCCATTCTGTCGCTGCCTAGCTGAGTTTATATTTTATTTGCTCTTTAACAGGAATGCCGCTGGATCGCCGCGATGTGCCGGCTCCGGCAGTGGGCTAGGGAGGCAGGGCGGTCGTCAGGCGGGAGTGCATCCCGCTGTTTTGCAGTGAACTCATGGCGCCCCGGCACTGCGTGCACGGAGGCCAGCATCTTGTTTGTGTTTATGTGTGCGCTCAGGTGTTTTAACCCGAAAAATAAATGTACGCCATTTCATATAGGAGATAGTCGGGATGCGGGTCGGCTTGCTGACAGCTAAATAAGCGCAAGTTTTCCGTCGGGCATTATTCTGATCGGAAACAGTGAGCTTATAAGGTAAACAGTTCACTCGGAGGGTTAATCTTTGCATGTGTATTTTTGTATCCCCCCGGTGTCGCGCGGGACCGTAATAAAGCCGGAGTAGTCGGGATGTTTCCCCGAAGTCTGTCCGGACTTTGCTGCGTCTTCGCAGTGCGCTGCCCTGCCGATCCGCCAGCCTCTGGGAGCTCAATGAGGCGTAAGAAGCATATCGCCCTTCATTCCTGCGAGTCCGTCTAATGCTGCGCCGATTTATTGAAACAGCACCTTGGCCTTTGAGGTCCTGAGCTCTGCTCCGCATCCCCTTGTATCTGCTCTCCATTAGACCCGCATCACTGCACCCAAACTAAAGAAGGGAATTCATCTTCTGCTATCTGGGCAAGCCCAGGTAAGCAGGCTTGTTTATAGTACACACGAAACAAAACCTTCAGAAAGACTAGTCACCTCATCTCAACTCCTGTGAAAGTCAGTATTTGGCAGCACTCCAAACGACGTATATTCCCTGGGGAACTGAAAATGTTCAGCCTGAAGGTATAGTAGAGGACCTGACAGAGAGAGGTCTGAGGTACCTGATAACTGGGCTGCTATCAAGAGGTGGCAGGGGACCTGATCAGCAGTGTTTCCTGGGCTTCACCCACCATTTGTAACATCTTCGATTGGGGGAGGGGGGGGGGGGTGTATACTGTCATCCGCTTTGGGTTCCCTACCCAGCTCGACTGAAGCTTACCATAGCCACACCCTTTTCTGTAATCCCCAGTGTTCACACAGAAGTGACAGTCACTCGTCGATCAAAAAAGGTCCATTAAAATGACCCATTTTGGGTTGGAGGGACCAGGTCTTGTGCTTAATTGAGTGGGATTTAAAAAGAGGCAGGGGCACATAGACACATCCGGCATACACTTGACAATCGGTTTCCTCTGACCGGTCCCTCTTGCTCACCATTTGCTGAACGAGTTCTCACTCTTCCTGGCAGCCAGCGCGTGCTGGGTCCCCTCAGCCGTACTGCACCCTGGGCATACTTTCTGATGCAATTCCCCAAAATGTGCAATACCCATATTTATGTGCATTCAGACCACTTGGTAAACTCTACCTCTGCAAATTGCTCACCCACCAACTCACCAGCACCTTATTGTGTGTGTGTGTGTGTATAGTGTCTGTACATACCTTATTCTCCTATTCTATTTATGCCTCAGAATCTATTTAATTGTTAATATACTGTGCATCTGCTGGTACGTTCCAAACTAAATCTCATTGACAAAATCCCAATGAGAATAAAGCATCTATCTATCCATCCATCCACCCATCCCTGGTCGCTCTCCCTGGCAGCCAGTGTGTGCTGGGTGCCCACGGCTGTACTGCACCCTGGTCGCTCTCCCTGGCAGCCAGTGCGTGCTGGTGCCCACAGCTGTACTGTACCCTGGTTGCTCTCCCTGGCAGCCAGTGTGTGCTGGGTGCCCACAGCTGTACTGCACTCTGGGCTCTGCCCGTAGCCTTAATCTCGGCTCACCATGCACAGCCATGTCACACGTAATCAGCACACAATCCCTCAGCTTGGCCAACCCAGCATCGCTCGTGCCAAATGGATCGCAGCACAGCACAAACCCCTTATGACCAAATCCATTTAATCTCTCTCCCAGCGTTTCGCTTTTACTTAGAAATTGGTCAGATACCTTCAAAGAGCTCCGCAAAAACAAAGACAGGAAGTCAAAGCCGACCGATGAAAGTTCAGCTCACAGAGAACTTTGCTTTATGTTAAGTTGAAAGCTGCCCACTGACTGCGGAGATGGTGACATTCAGACGGGCCCTTTGTTGAACTTCAGTAAGACGCTGCTGAAATTGCCTGGATTAGTTGCACGGGCTGGGGGACGAGACATGTAAGCGAAGTGCGTAAGAGCCCATTCCCGCTCATGGGGGTGGCAGCGGCCTGTGTCGGGAAACTGGCAAATTCCGCCAATATTTTATTTTCCAGTGCGGGAAGTAATCTGCTTTTTAGCGGAAGACAGATTGTCCCGTTAATCTGTGTGGATGTGACAAAGGGCCCTTATAAACAAATTAAAGTGATCACTTTGGCTCTCCTCCTGGAGGACGACCCTGATACAGGCTAAGAGCAGTATGCCCTGGCGGTCTGCGTTTCCAGAGGCTGATGTATGGCCAGCCTGGCACTGTAGCCTGGCGGTGTAGGGACCGGGGGTGGGGGCGCCATAACACAGGCTTCTATTGGTCCCTGTGTGCGTACATTTCTGTTTCCTGTTCAGGATACAGAAGCCTTACCTTGTAGAAATTATTTTGCAAAGATGGCCTCCGCATTTCCTGGGTCAGCCGTGTGCCGTCCGGCGTGGGTTGGGGCGTCGTCCTGCCGCACTGTGAGCATGCCCTCTCGCCTTTAGCCTGACAGATGCAGACAGTGATTTCCAGGTTCCAGCAGATTAGGGGATTATAGGATAGAGGTTTTGTGCAATAGCTGCAATGCATCAGCAGTCAGGGGCAGCGAGTCAGAATTGAAGCACTGTGCCGTCTGTCGTCAAAGGTACTTATTGCTTCCTGTCTGGCGTCATGGATTCAGTTAAACCAGCTGTGCTTCACGCCCTTGGCCCCTGTCCATGTCAGGGTCCTGCATGCTTTATGGGGGGGAGGCACTTTCGATCATCACATGATCCAGAGACTGACCACTAGATAGAAAAACCAACTGTAATACTGTAGTCAAAACAATGCACTTGTCTCCCTTGTATCAGTCCCCGTTCTTTTTGAGACCTGTACCTGCGGATATTCACTGCTCATTAATAGTTTTCCTCCAGGCGGTCAGTATGGCAGCCAGGCTTTGCCACAGGTTAGGGTTAGGCTTGGGGTTAGGCTTAGGCTTAGGGTTAGGGTTTGGTGACCCCCGCTCAGCTTTGGCGTACTTTTCAAGGACCTCAGCCACACACTGTCTTGGTGAAAGAACTGCTTCCCATCAACTTGTGCAAAGAAATGGTGACACATTTCTGTAAGGTGTACAGTGCTAACCAGTTATAAGTTAACTGGTCTGTCTTGTTTATAACCCATAATTTGTACATGATCAGGGACCTGGCTGCAGAGCATATTTGTGCATTCTCATTCCGCATTTCACAGTGCACTTGAGGAGGATTGTTTCATTAAGCCCTTTCCCTGTGTCCCTGTCACTGTATCCTGTCTGTCCTCCCATCCAGGCAGTTGTGTGACGTGTGGCAGGGTGGGGGCGTTGGGGAGCATCACCCCACATCAGCGCCCTCCTTTGTCACTTTGGTTTCCCTGGGCCAGCAGGAACGTGTGTAGAGAATCAGGCTGGCAGTGGAAGGAACAAGGGTTCAGGGTGTTTCACCAGCACCCCAAATCAGTCAGCCCGAGATATCGCTTGCACACCTGGGGCTCTTCCATGTTTTGACTCTTCAATGATGTTATACAGCTTTCCCAGGTTGTTTTTCCGAAATTTATAAATAAATTCCACCAGAAAGTGGTTCGCAATTTATTTTCTAATTACCAAACATTTGCGGTGCTTGTCCTGTTAGGAAGCGGAAAGTAACTGGCTAAATAGTGGCAAACAGACACTTGTTGCAGCGTGTTTTTACACGCTGGTCACCTTGCTTAATGGAGGCAATACAGCATTAATTATGTGGGGGAAAAGCAACAGCTTCATGGGGAAGTGCTTCTTAGGTCAGCAGTAAAGGTTGCCTTTAGTCAGAGTGGATGAAAGCTGCGAGAGGAGCTGAGACTCTGCTCATAGGTAAAGTGTGCTTCTAATTTTAGGCTGTTTCTTCCCGGAGTAAATAAGGGCTTTTAACTTCATTGCAGGCAATTGCCTTGGACCTTTTTTTTTGGGAACATATTGCACCATTTTATGATTATTTGCAAATGTTCACTCCAGCCATAAAAAATAAAACATTAATTATGTTATGCAGACATCTGCCAGATGATGCACAGCTTACGGTAACATCTCCACGTTGATTTCTTCCTTTAACCCACAAGATAACCTCTATGAAAAACTTTTATCTATAAATGATTCAGCCTTTGGGGTAATTTCCCACTAATTCAAAAGGAACAGGAAACCAGGGTGGATGACTTCTTACCTTGGTAGGAGGGCCCCTTCTGTGTGTAGGAGGGCCCCTTCTGTGTGTAGGAGGGCCCCTTCCGTGTGTAGGAGGGCCCCTTCCGTGTGTAGGAGGGCCCCTTCCGTGTGTAGGAG